TCAATAAACCTGACAACGTTTTGAAACTTGTTTTGAGACTTAGACTGATTGAAAGATTCAATCACCTGATACCAGGCACAAATGCTATGAAGTCTTATTGCACAGCTCTGATATTGGATTTTTTGACATGCATTTTCGAAATAGTAAATTCTCTTTTAATATGTAACTGATTTGTTTAATATTTGTACAACTTGCTGAAGATACCAAAATGCTACTGTTTAGAAATTTTCAATAAGTTTGATAAATCAATTGCTGAGAAAACACTTGTCAAAAAGCGATTCATTTTTTTGGGACACCCAATATACGAGACATATTTATGATTACATGTAATGATTAAATGTTTCATGTGTCTCATAATCCCAGTTAGGGCTGGCTATTTTGTATGATAGGTGACACTTTAAAAAAATGCTCATAAAATAAAAGAATAAAATTCATGTACCTACAAACAATAGAGGAAAATTTAAGCCTTTGAAAAAGAGGAGAAAATACGTTTTTAGGTAGCCCCTCCCCCTTCCTTGCTGGTTAAATGTCTAAATCTCCTTAAAAAGAGACTTCAACAAGATTTCAAAGCTATAGAGCAAAGCCTCTCAATTCAGCAGTGGAAAAACTCCTGTCTTTTCATGACAGTCACATAAGTATTCAATATGTATATGAGAAAGTATCTGTAAATTGATTGACAAAAAGGTAATCCGTTGGGTGGAAGATGATAGGAAGCCACCTTTGTTTATGCATTATGATGTTCAACAAAATCCAGAGGTTTTATTTGTTAAGTAAATAACATTGTTTATTGTTAATCGATATGATACATTATGCCTTTCACAATGTCAATCATCCACAAGTATTTAATACTTGATTGTATATTTGACTTACTGTTGAAAATTGAATATTTAATGAGTGCTAACTGCCAGTCAAAAATGTAAAGTTTGAAAGGGCCTTCCTGACTAAATGACATTTTAAGCATTCCTGGCTAAATTACATCTTATGAAAAGAGAAGATATTCAACCTTAATTGAAATATATTGGCACTAATTGATGATAATTGTTAGGTACTGTAGCACAGCACAATCTCCTAACTTATTGATCATGTTTTTATTCGACACTTACCTTCGAACATAGCAACAAAAAAATCAGCTTAGCTAAAAAAATAGGTTTTCTCCACTCTATAGTCTATATATTCTATAATTATATGATATTATTATTATTAAATATGAAATAAATAAATAATATGATTTAATATAATATCATATACTGGTAATTAGGTAGATGATGTTTGGCAATCGTTGGTTGGTGTTCTGCATTTGGGGTCTAACCAATGCTATGTTGTGGCCGCAAATATCTTCAAAATCTGAAGTAGGTGCCAATGCCCATAAGCTTAAGGGAGAACACTCTGATATATGATCTAAATGTTACAGTCAAGAAGGGTATAATAAATAAGTAACAAACTGTCTCTCATGTGCTTCAGATGCTGCGAAGGAAGATGAAGAAGAGGATGGTACGAATAGGGTTGCTATGAAAGGGGACGACTTTGAGGTTGTCTGTGTTAGCAACAGTTCTGATAATGACTCTGATGATGAAGATGATGATAAAACCAAGAAACAAGCAAAAGAAGACAGTGACGAAGAATCCAAGAATGCTGATGAAAGTAAAGACAGCACTAGTGCGGATACTAGCAAACAATCAATTGATTCCATTACCTTGGATGACTCTATGAGTAAAGATGCTTCAGATGCTACCAAAGTAAATAGAAGTAAGCCTAAAGACAATGACATTGAAGCTTTCGATGGAGCATCGAGAGATAGCTTGCCGGATTCAGAGAGTAGAGATGGCAGCTACAGAGGCCCTTCAAACATGAATGAGAACACTAAAGAAAGCACCGCATCTAATGATGATAGCATACAAGATGCTACATCTAATGATGTCAGTTTACAAGATTCAAATGATGTCAGTCTACAGGACTCAAATAATGTCAGTCTTCAAGATGAAGCTGATACTTCCTCCAGTATTAAGGACAATGCTGAAATCACCAACGATTCAAATATCAGTGAAACAAAGGATGTAAATGAGGATGAGGATGACGATGATGATGATATTATTGAGACAAGCATTGTTGAAGCCAAGTCTGATGAGGAACATGATTCTGATGAGGAAGAGGATGATGATGAAGATGATAATAAGAATGAGGATGAAATTATGGAGGTTGAAACATCAAGCGATGTTGAGAAGATTGATTAAAAAACATGATTTAGTCCACTTGAACACATGATACCTCAAAATAGTATTCCCCTTATAGAGATGTTCCACTTAATTAAAGAAATGTTCCACTTATAAAGAGTTGTTCCACTTTATTAAAGAGATGTTCCATTTTACATTTCCATTACTGTATATTAGCTTGTGAATTGTTTCAATCAGGACAGAACAGTAACTTTTGGCTCACATGGTTTGCTCATTATATGGAATATCACACTCGTTATATTAAAACATGAAGACTTTTGAGAGCTTTAAAATTATCACTTTATATTTCTAGATAATCCTCCCAGGATATTAGTAACAACATTCAGCCTATAGATTCTGCAATAGGGAGTTTTAGCTTGCAATCATTTTCACAATCTAAACATGAACAGAAAATATTTAGCGATGCATTTGTATGGGCGATTGGTGATACGTATAGGTTGGCGTTTCTGTTTTATATGCAAGCTTAAACTCCCTATTATGTCATGGCAAAGAAGTTGTGAACCTGTCATAGCATTTATTTTGGGGTATTTCCTGCTATTTAGCATTGGTAACAAATCGTTACACTTCTGTAACCATTTGCAATGATATATTTTTCGTGTTACATTCTTTTTCTGTTCATAATTGTTGTTTTGTAAAATTGAAATTGGATTATTTGTGATTATATGTCATAACTTTGTCCACAGCAGAAGTGGTGACATATTGTTAATAGTCTCCAATTTTTTCATAGATGGCGTTTGTCGGTAGCTGTTTGGTGTTCAGCTTTTGTAACAAATGTAACAAATGGCAGGTGATGACATTTTGCATGTTATGTCTTGTTTCTTATTTCTGTTGAATACAAAATTTTTGAAACAGCGAGACAAACAAGATAATTTTGAAATATAGCCACAATCAATATTTTTGGGAATATACACATGTGTGTCAGGCAGCGTAATATTTTCAATGTTCCTGTAAGTTGTGTTGTTTATATTGACATCGTGTCAATATACACACATATTTACCTGAACGTAATATTACCAATTTACCTGTAAGTGGTGCTGTTGTATTGACTTAATATTGAGATACATTCTGATCTAATTTAGCCTTGTTTTCATTGTGATATCAAATCCTGCAAACGAACAAGTCTTATGATAAAATGCATGAAGGTTTAAACGAAGTTTGATTTTAGTAATATAAGGTGATATAAAAATTATATATAACAAAACGGAAATAAAAATGATATATAACAAAACGGAGTCAAACAAAAAATCATATTTTAAGGTTGAATAACGTGCATATAAGTAGGTTATTATTGACAAGTGCTAATATAAAGCAATTAATAATTGTATATAGTACTTTATTGGGACTTAAAAGGACTTAAGGTAAATTATGCAACATAATCATGGACTCCAACCAAAATCAATTTATATCTAAATGTTGTTATTTATTTAAATCCAAGCCAGATGTTTCAAAGTCTGCATTTCTCTCAGATAACAGTCATTGAGGCTATGAAAGCATGGAGTATTAACGTGATGGACGCATGTTGAGTAATTCCCTCTAGTTTGTTACATCATCGTTGGCAGGTGTATTATTTTTACAATATGTACAAAGTTTACAATAATAATGGGTATATCATAGTCATCAAAGGTAGATATTTGTGATCATTGTATGTTACATACACGGGGTACCATCGAATAATTTTGGCAACGTACCGGAGAACGACATTTTACTAAGAAATGGCAATAATTTAGCACAATATATTTTTTAACTAGAGTTCTATTTTGATTTTGACAAAAGTAAGTATTCCATGCAATAACTATTTCATTCATGAGTTTGTAGGAATTCTGTTGGAACCCAGTTCTGATCAAGTACGAAGTTATTGAAATCGGCGCAGACGGACTTTACTCCGAAAGATGGTTTTTCGATTATAACTTTTCACAACATTTAAGTATAGACTTTTGAAAAAAGTACAGAATAGTCCTTATACTTTTGAATAATTCTGTTATTTCTGATTCACACGACTCTGATTTGTTTAATTAAAAAAAAAGTTTTAAAAATATTACTTAGGAACGTAACCGGAGCTGGGAACGTAACCGGAGCAGATCAGTTGAATTATTTAATCAAAAAAATTAAAATATATGATTTAAAGCACATATACTAATTTAAAAACATACGGGATTGTTCGAATGCGTATTTATTAATATATATGCTTTAAATCATATATTTTATTTTTTTAAATTATATAATTCAACTGATCTGCTCCGGTTACGTTCCCAGCTCCGGTTACGTTCCTAAGTAATATTTTTAAAACTTTTTTTTTAATTAAACAAATTAGAGTCGTGTGAATCAGAAATAACATAATTATTCAATAGTATAAGGACTATTCTGTACTTTTTTCAAAAGTCTATACTTAAATGTTGTAAAAAGTTATAATCGAAAAACCATCTTTCGGAGTAAAGTCCGACTGCGCCGATTTCAATAACTTCGTACTTGATCAGAACCGGGTTCCAACAGAATTCCTACAAACTCATGAATGAAATAGCCATTGCATGGAATACTTACTTTTGTCAAAATCAAAGTAGAACTCTAGTTAAAAAATATATTGTGCTAATTTATTGCCATTTCTTAGTAAAATGTCGTTCTCCGGTACGTTGCCAAAATTATTCGATGGTACCCCGTGACATAGGAATATGTCATGTTGAAATAAATTTTGTAAACACATTTCCTTCTTGGTCATTTGTGGCTTATTCCATTGATCAAAATGATTGGACTGGTGAAGTTAATGATTTCTGTTACTCATGGAATGTTTGAATGTAATATATACGCGTCTGCCCTAATGATTTATCTCTCATGAGGCCCACTTATAATAATGCCCATGGGTTTCTTATTAGAAATACTTTAGGCAAGAAATACTTCAGGCATCACTCGGAGATGGAGAGCGTCATTCCTTGTCAGCACATTTCTTAAAAATTCTATATTCATAAAAATGTTAATACTTTGAAAATTAGCATAAATACAATTTTAAGACTAAAGTATCACTAAAAAGAAGTATTTTCCATGTTGGGGAAAACAAGAAAAGATAAAGCAATGGAAATTTGTCCTCCATCAGTTGCAATTTTTGTCCATGCTCTTCCATATTGATAATTGTTGTTATTTAGTCTTGCATCGGTTTCCATATTCAAGTTTCTACCTTGGTTACGACCGTGCTACCATTCGTACTACTGTTGTTGCCATTGGCTGATTTTCCAATGGGACGTTTGACTCCGCACACTCCGAATATCTTGTAGTAAAAGTTTTTGTAACCCTCTCTGAACGCTCTATTGCTGATTCCATAAACGAAACAGTTCACGCCACTGGCGTTTCCATGCATCAATTGGACTACGATGACGTACACAACAACTGGTAAAACATCGGCGGAGTCGAAGAGAATCACCGCCACAAAAGGCGAATTCATGACGAGAAAAATCAAAAAGACCAAAAACAGGACTTTTGCTAGTTTAATCTCTTTGTCCATCTTTTTATCACCTCCCTTTCCAACGCTTGCGATTTTCTTTTTTGTCTGATAGACCTTCCAGAATATAAGTGCGTTGCAGATGGCCACCGTGACGAGAGGGATGAATACCCCAGCGAGGAAGCTTAAGCTGAAGGCGCGATGTTCCATGCGGTCCCAAACACAGCCGATCATCTTCCGATCGTACGTGTACCTGCCCCAGCCGCCCAAAACAGCGAAATTAAGCCACATGCTGTACACCCAGATAATAATATTGATGATGATCGTGTTGCGCTTACTGAAAATAGTAGGGTAGACGCTACTTCTGCAAATGCAAACATAACGATTGATGGCGATGAACGCCACGCAGGCGAGAGACGCCAGACACGCACTGAGGCACACGAACGCCAATACGCCGCAGAATTCTTTCCGAATAACGAACCAACGTTCGCCAGTGAATATAGCCACGACAAAGAAGATGTTAACGGGCCCCGCGAGTATGACATCACATATAGCCAAGTTAATAACGAAATAGTTAGCCGTTGTCCTTAGGCTTTTTGTTACAGCGACGGCTCCTATGATGAATATGTTTCCTACTGTGCCTATGGTGATAATAATGAGCATGATGACGATCAGGAAAGATGTCTCTATGGGGTGTGTCTCTAAATAGTGGACATAGGTCACCTCTGGTTCGGATGTTGTGTTCGCCATCTAAAATATAAACAGTTGTCTTAAGAAACCTTGTCTCATATCATACTTTTTAGATCATCTTATCACCTTCAAATTCAAAGATCGACGTTTTAGATTTACCTGCCGTCGGGAAAACTCTTTTTCGAATCGAACATAAACCAAACGAGGAAAACTACTGTTAAATACAATGGATACAATATAGAAAGAGACAATTAACCCAATGGGGATCTATCCCTTCCTAACAGTTCCAACACTAGACATTATTCACTTTGAAAATATGTAACATATTTTTTAGCTAAAAGAACATTAACCAGTTTTTGACTGGTTTGACACAACTATTGTTAACTTGATGTGTCAGTATGTAATATTTCACGGACTTGGATTTATAGGTATTAAATTATTTACCTTTTTGTCTTAAGTCGATCTTACTTGTCTTCTATGCTGTATATTCCATTTATCTAGTTAATTTAGATTTTTCGCAGATATTGGTTTAAAAATTGTTGATCATTATGATTATCATAGCAAAGGAATTACTTGGCGTTTCGTTTTGTAGAAATGTTCTGATGATGTCCTTATCGTAGAAATGTTCTGAAGTTTCTCATTGTGAAAATAATCGGAATTCCTTTTTATTGTAGAAAGGCTCCTCGGTTCCTTTCTGTACAAATAATCTGGAGATTCTGAATAGAAAAGTCTCGAAGTTTCTTATTGGTTTAATAGAAAAGTCTCGAAGTTTGAAATGCTCCAAATGTTCCTATTGTAAAAATGATCTATTGGGGTACGGTTGAACACGTTCCCTGTTGCGAAATGATGGTCTCTAAGCAGTGACTGGGTATAAGTACTGTGGGTAGGATTTATCGATAAAGCATGTAACCACATGCCGATTGCTAATGATTTTACAACGACTGAGAGTGATGTATGGGTGGCTCCTATCTGGGAATGATGCAATACCGATGTTGGAAGGCCGGCTATAAGTTCTTTGAAAGATGCACATATTACTCGATCATACCTGCCAACCTACCATATTTTTACGGGAATCTACCGTATATTTTGCTGAATATTACTTAAAGGGGCAACAAGGCCTGTAGAGAGAAAATAGGAAAATTTTAACTTTTTCTGAGCTAACAAGGCAACATTGGCTTAACATCTTCTTTGACATACCTATTTTCTTAAAATATATGGATAAACTATCAATTTCAGCATTAAGAAGTGTAAATTCAGTTCAAAGCTTGAAAAAGGGGAAATCCACTTTTTCAATTTTAAGATCCACCATGTTTCAATAGGAATATCAGCTGAAATAATGTTTATCTAGAGGGTTTCTTTGTAGATAATAAAAATAGATGTTAGTTGTGATATAATATCCAAACTTAAATACATTTTGACACTGGTCCATGATCGTTGAATGGCCCTTCTGCACTAATTGTTGCACCTTTAATTTCAAACATGACGGAAAAACTTTACCCACCTAACAATGAATATCTCTTTCACCAATAGAGTTTGATTAAAAAGTTAGTTCAATGTTCTTTAAGTTGACAAAGTTTCACTACTATAGCAAGTGTATATATGGCCCATTTGCTGGCCATTTAAATAATGTGCTCCAAATGGGCACCGCGTCTCTGAAGATAAAGTGCAATGACGTTTGGTTAACAATGGTGATCCACTCGATTACGCTGGTTACCGAAACGGTTCGTTTTGTTAACAAAATGTCGGAACGTTGAAGGTACGATTTTTCTTTTTTCCTTATTTCACGCGTTGTAGGCAGAATCCCCACTACGTTTTTTCTCACAAACGTATATCAGCATCATTTGTTTTAGAAAATGTACATGTTTGCGAAAAAATAGCTCAGAAGACAACAGAATCGTCGATTTAATTCCTCACTTAAGTTACATAAACGGTTTGGGTTTAAAGTGCAGATCTTTACTGTTTTTCGAAAAAACATTTATGTAACTTAAGTGAGGAATTAAATCGACGATTCTGTTGTCTTCTGAACTATTTGTTCGCAAATATGTACATTTTCTTAAACATATGATACTGATACACGTTTGTGTAAAAAATGTCGTGTGAATTCTGCCTACAACGTGTGAAATAAGGAAAAAATAAAAATCGTACCTTCGATGTTTCGACATTTTGTTACCAAAACGAATCGTTTCGGTAACCAGCGTAATCGAGTGGATCACCAGTGGTTAAGCGATGAAGCACATTTTCAGTTGAATGGTCATGTTATGCAAGAAATATGTTTTTTGGGTAACTATGCTCCTGAAGTGCCCCAGAGACCACTTCATTGTGCCAGATGCACCGAATGGTGTGCTTTGAGTAAGCATGGCATCATTAGGACATGCTTCATTGAAAATGAGGAAGGGCAAAGTGTAACCATAGAGCGTTATATTGTTGTACTTAAAAAGTTCTGGAGGGCTATACAAAGAAGGAATGGTGTTGATGGCTCGTCCCAATAGTTTCAACAAGTTGGAGCTACACCACACATATCCAAAATCACCTTGGTGTGGCTTCAGAATCATTTTAAAGATCGACTTCGTGGAGCAGATAACAACCGGGCACCCCAATCCCCAGACATGAGCCCCAATTCTCTGAAGTTAGTTTGTCTGTTTGAGATACGCAAATGACATTCTGCTTTCGCATGTATATCATTTTACGAACATTTTTCGCATTTATATGCACTGATCGCCAATTGTAAAATATTGCTTGAAGAACTTCTAATCACAAAATTATATTAATCCTCTCCTTTTTATTCAAGATAAAGAATATTCTGTTTTCTCATTCAGCGTATATGCTTGGGGCCCTTGAACCCAAGTCATATTTCCGGGCCATAAAACGTAAATGATGTCGTGTTGATCAATGTCTCATTTATCTAACGGGAATTTGATGTTTTATGAAAACTGATATCCTCGATCATTGGAAATTGAGATGCCCCTGGACAAGAAGCCAAGGTAAGAAGCTAAGGAAGTTATTGGAAGTTGAAGTTAAGTTGAACTCCCCGTGGCATGATATTGATATCGGGGTCAAAATGTTTACACTTAATGATGAGTATAAATATCTAGTATTTATCTATGAAGGAAGAATAATCAGAATCTGCAATATATCACACTTTAAAGATGGTGCTGTTCCATATATTAAATAATAGATGGCAGCCCTGTTAAAAAACACCAGTTGAACATTTTTTTGGCAATATTATCGATAAGAAACAATATTTCCATATAGCAAGAACATATAGCTGACTTTATGTGACATATGTGTAAGATCCATTCATCTAATCTCAAAGAAAAGTATATGAACAATGATGATTCAGACAGATTCGTTGATATTGGGGGTACAATCATCAACTTCAGTTCTTCGAAGGGAAAAAAGAAAACTGAATTGTAGTGAGATTAATATTCTCTATATGTTCGATCCAAGACAAAACTCATCAGGCTCTCTATTGATTGCAGCTCAAATTGACAATCCAAATTCATTATCTTTTAAGTCCATGGAACAATCAACATTCCCTTTAAGAAAATAAAACATATCTCAAACATATCAGAGCACATTCTAATTATGCATTACATTACTTAACTAGAAATGTCAAATTGAACGGAGCTCATTAAAGAGATTGAATCGACCAAGATCTTGAGATAACCATCTATCTTTTAAATTTAGATTGACTTGTCAAATGGCCATTCTCAATCGTTTAAATCTACTGGTTGCTTGGTTGATTGGCTGGTTGTCTGGTTCATTGGTTGGTTGGATGGTTTGTAACTTGGTTGATAGTTTCCTTGCTTTGTTGGTTGTTTGGTTGCTTGGTCGTTTGCTAGGTTGGTTACCTTCCAGACTGTACATTCTCTTAATACTGACCGGTGTTAATGAAATGCGTCCAGGTAAACTACACAAAACTTGTATCGTAATGTATACATGTACAGTTTACGAAGTGGCCAACCACTGTATATGTCAGTCTTCCTCTTAGCGCGCGCTGTATAAAACAGGGAGTTAAAGCTTGCATATAAAATTGAAACGCCAACCTATACGTATGACCAATCGCCCATGCAAATGCATCGCTTAAATATTTTCCGTTCACGTTTAGGTTGTGAGAAAGAAACATTGCAAGCGTAAACTATCTACTATACAAGCAAAACCCCGTAAAATGCCCTCAATTTTTTATCTACGATGTCGGGAGATAAAATTTGATAAGTCTAAAGTAATTTATTAAATTTATTTCACAATGACTTTAAAAAGACAGAAGGAATATTTTCACTAGGATTAACGCATCGCGTTGATTGACTGCCATTCCAAAAGCAGGATTACAATGATGCGACAGACATAACATTCGCAGTCATTGATTGATGAATGAGGTTCACAATTCGGAAAATGTTTATGTCAACTTGGTACAATTCATGAAAATCAATTGATTCTAGTGTAACGAGATCCTTTAAAGTACAAGTTTACGCATACGTTTATGAAACAACTTTTATCGAAAGCTCTCGTCTACAGTGTATAGCAAACCCTCAACTACCGATCTCAGTTACCCTCTATCCTCCAAAGTGAAGTGAATATCAGTAAAAACCAGTTTGAACAATGTACACGTAGCATCAATGATAAAACATTAAAACTGGTTAAAACCAATCAATCATGGACACTTGTCTATACCAACAAGAACCAGGTTGAACAATTGGTGTGTATAATACCCTACCCTGCGCGCAGAGTCTAGTTATGGCCGAGGCGAAGCTCTCTTTTAAGAAGTGAAGTCGAACGATTGCGAAGGGTAGTAACACCCTTGATAGAACATTAAAACTGGTTAATAAACCAAAGATTGGCAAGACTATTTAAAAAATGAAGCTATTGCAAAATCGTGTATATATAGTAAATCAAACGAGTATGAGTGCAGTAAAAACACGGATTGGGATCGAATGATTTTGTCCGTTGTGTACGGGAAATCTCTGCTTGCAACTTTTAAGACACATTGCAAGCTCAAAGTAATTGATAAGACTAATCAGAAGATTAAGGTCTAGCAAGCAAGCTCAACAAAAATTCTTTGGAGTCTGTGTTTTCTTCCTGATGCGTTCATTCGGTTCCAAATATGATTTTACCCTGTGGTAGCGAAGACTATGTGCTAATAAACGTAGGCTTTAAAACATTTATAGCATTAATAACAATTTTACCACCGATTTTATGAGGGTTTACACAAAAATCGATCTCAGGAGATTATTATATAAAAAGAAATTAGTACAATCTGCTTGCCTATTTTAGCCAGATATCACAAACTGCGTGTATAGCCTACTATCGAAACTGCGTGTCTCTCATTGGAATTTTTAAATTATAATTTATGAATAATAGAGGGCAGGCCAATCAATAATGTTTATTAAACTACAAAGAGATCGATTAATAGATTTAATGCTGCTGCCATCTTTAAATCGATCCAAAACCTATGCTATATTCTGTAGCTTTTTTGCCTGGTCTTCCTGATTTAATGCGAATGATTTTAAATAATACGTCTAATCATACTCTACCATCTGCCATTACAATCCTTATCACTTCAAAATTATTGTTTCGATATACAGCAATTGTTTTTTAAACATTTTTCAGGTTTCGTTATAGGTGTGAGGTGGGAAGGGACTAGGGTTGAGGTCTATTTTTACTGAACTTATCAATGTACATGTATATTAGTTAAAGTCACTAAAGGGTAAAGGGTGCCTTTGTTTGTCATAAACAAAAACACTATTTTCTTGTTGTGAAATGTATATTGAAAACGTTGCTAATGATTAACATGGCTTAAAGGGTCTGTATGTATTTGAAAGTCAAATGAAATTAAGGAACAGAATATCTCATTATTTTACAATGCACTTCAATTTAAAACTTTTTCGACAGAACCCAAGATACAGTTTCAGTTTGTTTCTGTCACAAATCATCCTGATATGTTTCCATTACACGTGCTACAAATATACAGAGTGTCCTATAGGTTTCTTTACAACGGTAAGAGACTTCAAGGTCTTGCAAAAAACTAATTATGAACAGTTGGACACCCTGTATTGTTAAATAACTGAGTTCCAGGAAAGAGTCTTTTATGCTGGTTGTCCTCGATCTAAAACATACACCCACCATTCGCTGAATTGAAGGTAGCCGTTCATTAAAAAAAATTTGTTATGGAAATGTGTGAAGCCTGTCACTCCAATCTGCTCAAGTTGCCACACAACATGTTTTTTAAATTTTATTATGTGTTTCTATTATATGCTGTACAAAGGCCGACAAATACAGAAATAATGCAATGAAAGCACTGTCATTTTCTCAAATTACCCCACAAACGTGTTTTTAAATTTTATCATGTATTTTTATTATATATGCTACAAAGGCCAACAAATACAGGAAGAGTGGTTGAAAATATTGTATTGAAATAATTGAAAGGCGGGGATGTAACTTCTAGCTTCCTCAAATTGGTACATTGTTTACTGAAAAGAGATTGAAACACGAGTCAACTTTTTTGTGTTTATGTCAGCGACCCTGGAAATTCGAGACAATCAATTGTTAGCGTGTACAGGTGTACGAAAGTTGAAGTGCAACATAACATGAATCAAAAAATACATTTTTAAATACAAGTATTGTCTGGTTGTGTGTTATGAATATTACTTGGTGTAATAGTTATTTATTATGATATTGAAAAGATCGCAAATAAACACTAGTTTTTAAAATTTGATATCAAATATTTCGATCGAAGAGCTATTTATTGCATATTTTTCCATTTAATTATATCAATATAGATTAAAAAGAGCACTCCAAACTTTCAGTGGGTGGCATTTCGTGATAGAAGCGTATCGATGCGCACGATGTTAATAAAATCAATGGTATTGACTGTGCGATTCTAGAGGGCGTTGTACTGTTGTACTACTGTACCATAAAAGAACTAGAGGTCAGTCACACTGTCGACAAAACAATTATTTCAATCCATTCTCGAAAAAGGTTAAGATCTTAACAATCCGGGTGTCAAGATAAGGCAACTTATCCTATGCCAAGTAGAGTTTTAGGGAGATAAGTTGGTAAGATATATCCCGTATCCTGATTTTGAGGTTTCCATATCCTGAACCTTCATATCTCCCGCCATATCTCCCGCTTCAGGGCATATCTTCCCGCTTCGAAAAAAAATTGAAAAATTGAAAAAACAAGAAAAAATGTGAAAAAAAAGAAAAAAAAAAAAAAAAAATGGAAAATAAAATTAGAAAAAGAGAAAAAATTTAAAAAATAAAAAAATGAAAAAAAAATTAAAGAAAAATTAGAAAACTCTACTTGGTATAGGATAAAGCAGTTATGTACGGTCGGTTTTGATATTGGGTTGATCCCTCGTGAGATATGCACATCTACCTTCGGTCCCTACTACGGTCCCTCAGGTAGATATGCATATCTCCCTCTGGATAAACCCCATATCCAAAACCTCCCAGTACATAACCCTTATATATAACGGTTGTTTGAATAGTTATTCAATAGTTTTTTTTAGAAATATGCCTTCAAAACGTGCGATACATAATGTGTATTTTGCTCTGACGTCGTTTCACATGCCGGTGATTCGGAAACTATATATCGACTTGGACATATACTTAAATCATTGAATTACATATATTATTTGGACATGACAAGATACCGATGTACTATCAACGCAAAAATATTTCCTTCCTTCTTACCAATTATAGCCAAACCCCGGGCCAAACCTTTGACTCGGCATTTGGCAAAACTTCCAAAACTTTAATCTGGCAACTGTTTAGGTTTTTAAAGTTAAATGCGCTAATGCGTTACTTCTATCTGACTAATATGTTGGATATTGTACAATTAACAAAAGTACTTGTTAAAATAATCAAGACAACAGGTGGAAGATCCGAACTTGTCCAGACAACCCGATATTGGCCAAACAGCTATTCGTGCTCATATTATGAAATATGAAAATATGAGTTACACTCCACGGAATAATTTTGGCAAAATGATGATTGTAAAACTTTTTGAGGGGTGTATATAGGTATTACAGTGTATATTGCTTTTATATAGTTCTTGGTGTTAACGTAATTTGAGTGTCAATTTATTGGATTTTTTACTTTTAATTTATTGGCTATTTTTAAATTTTAGATTAATTTTTTAAATTGTAAAAAACATAAAAAGGCTATAACACGTAAACCAATGGGGAGGTAAGAGTTTGAGTTCGATTATATATCAAAGAATTTAAAACGAGAAGTCGTTGGCAATCACCATAGGTACCAATGTGCCAATGTACCTTGCAATTAAACTCATCTCGTACATATTATACACTCCCCTCCATGAGTTTGGCAACTGGATGTTTCGTTTGGACCATCTATCATTGAATTAGTCTCGTACGTTTCCGAACTCTGATATGCTACCCAATTAAAACGTCTGATTGCTAAACTTATGGGGGGAGTGTGAGGTTCATACGTATTTAAAAATATAAACCCTAAATCATTCATGACAATTTTGTGTAATAATTTATGTATTTTACTTCAAATTTTACATCCAGTTTTTCACATAATGTTTGCCATCTGATTTGTATAACCTCATCATACAGAAATAATACAAAATAAAATGGAAACAGTATTTATGGTGATAAGTTATGTTGTATGTTAATTGTCTTTAAATGTATAATATTAAAATACAAGATAAATACGATCGAATTAATGTGTCAAGGAGATAGACATGGGTCTAATTTTGTTACCATCAACAAACCGGTTGAAGTCAATTTCAACCGCCTTTCTTTAACAATAATTTATCGTAAGAGCATATGTTTCATATTGTTATTATCCTCTCTGTAAAACTTATCAAACAAAATATTATATATTTTCTTATAAAGAATATCTTAAACTTGTTTTATAATTCTTCCAGATATTACTACCTTATCTATGTACATTTATAGTCTATAACACGTTGTAAAATCCCGCACTGTCAAAAGTAGAGTACTCCTAGTTTTATAGCGCATTTTACAAAATATTACAGAATGATTATAATATTCGGCTAATCATCTTTCTACATATACATATATACAGGGTGTCCCGAAAGTATGCCCCCCCCCCTAGGCAGACATATATACCAGTGTCTTCATAGTATGTGTCATAAATCATTTTAAAGCTTATCTAAAGTTACATTGATTTGCCAAGTATCATGATTTAACTCTCAAATGGGAAAAAGTTACAGTCATTTTAAAATCTAGCGTTTTGTCAAAATAAAGTTCAATTTTTCACCACATTACTAGTCATTGTGTCCCCCCTTGGCCATGTTAACAGCAGAGGGGTGTGGAATTTTATAATCATCTTAAAACCTGTTAAGGCACTTTTAGAAGAGTTTCCATGGAGTATCTACCCTCATCGTACTATTTTTCCTACTCAGTATCCATACGACCCAAGAAGAATTGCTGCTGTTAAGATGGCCTAGGAGGACTTATTAACTAGTGATTTGGTGTAAAACTGAACCTAATTTTTGAAATGCCTGTAATTTTTTCACATTTGAGAGTTGAACCATGATACTTGGCAAATCAATGTAACTTTGGAGAAGCTTTAAAATGATATATGACACATACTATGACGACTCTGGTATATGTCTGCCTAGGGGGCCCCATACTTTCGGGACACCCTGTTTATATACAATTGATATTATAACAAACATACGTAAGTCTTATATATATAATTATAAATTCGGGTAATTCGTTCAGTGCAACTAAGTCGCCTTAACCTCTTTCTAGTAGATGTTTAATGTTGACCTACTTAAGGTCCCAGTTGTATTTCCGTCAAAAGTCGGGTATTGATGCACTGAACGAATTGCTGGGAGAGTAGCATTTAAATCTTTGGTCAAGAGTGCCCACGACATTCATGATAAAGAGGGCGCTATGAGTACTAGTCCGTCTTACACTGCACGGACTAAAAACTCTTATATACTTCATATTCAGGATTTGCAGTCTCTTCCATCGCGCCATCTATTACTTTATTTGGCAATCTTAGTCTTCCTGGAGTACAAGTCTTTAACTTTAAAATCATGTACTTTCCCAATGGGTATGCCATCCTTGTGCCAGCAGTCAACTCTGTGGCCAAAATATTCCTCTTGTTTCTCTAGAGCACCCATCTTGGATCTATTTTGCAGCTCCACGGTCTGGTATTCGTTGAAGCCCTCAAATTTGAGTTGTCCAAGTTTCTCATCGTTCTGATCCATGGTCAGTGAAGCCTCGACTGTCATTGCTTGACCTTGAATATGATAGAGGTGGTTATTAATACATGGAAATCAGTTATAGATCAAAAGACGTAAATACATCTTTGACGTCCAAGGTGTTTTAATAAACAATGAAGTTGGAGCACCTGGAGCATTGTGAATCAAGATGGTGCAAATAATAGTTTTCTTATATTGTTCTTTTTAAGACCGGTGTTAAAGGGTAGGAGGTCCTATCAAATTATGGTCCTACTCTCCATTGATTTATATGGTGACCTCTTTGTGCTCTTTCCCTTATTATCTTATATACAATCAGGGCCAGTAAGGGCCTTTAAAAAGGGGGACCATAATCCCCGGGGGACCATAATTTCTTTCACACCGGTATGGGCCTCTTAAAGATGGACTATTATCCCCCAATTTCTTAACACCCCATTTTATAAGTTTGGCAACCATTACTGTATAAGTGGTATTTAATCCGAGTGGTTAATTTTCCGAATGGTCAAATTTCATCATTTTCCTAATTTTAATTTTCCTAATGACAAGAAACCTCCCATTGGATAACATTATAAAGACAATATTTCCGACATTTAATTTTCCGAACCTGGCAAAAATTAGGAAATAGGCAAATTAAATGATTAGGCAAAATTACCACTTATACAGTATTCCTTTTGGATCACTTATCAACGCTTGTTTAAGTTTGACGATTTAAAAATCACCAAAGTCATGAAAGATTCGAACTATTGTATTTAAGGAACAAAATTAAGGATTTGATATGCTATGGCATGAAAAATTCCGATTGCCAAACTTATGGAGGGGAGTGTACTCTGAATAGATATTAACGTGTCATTACCAACAATGCCACCGGCAGGCCAGAGAGATTCATCAAGTTTGGTGACCAATACGTCTAGATGGTTGTTGAAGCGTGCGATCACAATCGTAGCCAAATGACTGATATGTACTGCCATTCTGTATCTGTCTTGCTTTAAGATGCGTACAGCAACGGGGACTTTTTCATTTCCGAACTATAACAACCAAATCAAGATGTTTTCATGCAAGTCGTGAGCCAGGAAAAAAGTGTTACATAAAGATGCTTGGTGAAAAAGGCGTGGCAGTAAAGGTGAAAAGTCAAAATTGGTCATTATCTCCTAATATTTTATCATTGTTCAGCTTGGTTATTATATACAATACAATATACAATATGCCTCGGATTCACAATACAAGGAGATGAAAATTAAATATCATATATATTTTCTATGAAGAAATTCTTTTGTCCATTCAATTTTGGGGGATTTTTGGACTGTTAAAATTGCACCCTGTTCATGAAAGCACTAATTAATCTTCTTCGTAAGAAGCAGACCTGTGTAAAATAACGGTTACTCAAATAATATGCTCGAAGATTACCTTAGCGATGTAATTCCTCTGGAACGCCGGTCCCCATCTTTCCACTTTCCCCCCAATATTCATGTAATGCGTTTCTGCCCCTACGTGAACCCAGAAGTTCCCCATACGTATGACGGCCTCCCCAAGATAATACGCATGTCCGGATCCAGGTCGTGACTCTATTTCCTCTGAGACCATTTTGGCATTTACAACCAAATCTGTGGAATAAAATAGTGCTGAATAAGTTGTTTTTAATGTGTTTATCTTTATTTTTAAAGGGAAATGAATTAACTCATGATAGAAAGAGAGCGATAGAGAATCTGAGCTCAAAGTATAAGACCAAATTAACAATAGGAAGTTAACATTTCCAGTGTTTTCACCCGCTCTGCTGACTCAAAGTACAACACAGTTAGACTAACTGTGCCCACTTGCACATTTATTATTTCAATGCCGTTTAACGATCATGAGGAATGTTCTTACATCTGAAAGGAGAAACCCTCGTATGTCGTGTTAATAGATGCACTGTGTAAAAGTACCAACGTCAACAACGTATCAATACAAATTTCTTGATGTTGAAAAATCTTTTAGTCAACTGGCGTCATAGTAACAAATTTCAAAACAGTTGGACTTTAGAAATTCTTAACTCCACGAAGTGTCTGTTATGATTTTCAGATCTTACTGTCCAACATAAACTTACTTTTTGAGGGCACAGAGAGGATTTGTATGACCTTTCCAGCGGGGGCCGTGAAGTCGAAACATACTGGTTTATCTACCCCCTTAACGTTGATCATCACGTGAGGATCTCCAGCCACTGAAAATTGATATTGAAGATTGATATTTGTTTGTGATTAAGAGATACATTTAACGCATTGTAATTATTTGTTTTGTCATGTCAATCATTGAATGTTTGTCCAATGACGGAAACAGCAAAGGTTATAATGTTCTAATCAAAAGGAATAAGTATAATTTGCCCATTATTTGATTGTTATTTAGGTTAGCCTATCACTGGTGGACTGGATTATTACTAAGTGGGCTCATTAAGATTTTTTCATTTCCTTTTTGAAATATGAATCCCGAATTTTGAACACATAGAAATATTTAGAAGTATAGTCCACATTTTACATTTTTCAAGGTTTCTAAACGTCATACATTAATATTAAACGTTTTCCATTACCGTCTCCGCCGCCTCCGTCGTCACCAGAGCAATCACATGGGGTATGAGCAGTCCATGTGCCGTCCGATTGACACTGAATACTCTCGCTAGTATCTTCTGTCCCCTGGATAGTGCAGTTCTCATGGCATGTGTATGTGATTGATTCAGGATAGTTGTAGTTAGTCCCCGTAATATTAGCGTTCGCGTCGCTTGGTGGTGTACCACAATGGGGTGCTGCGCAATCCTCGTCTTCGTTTCCGTCCCCGTCGTCATCTTTGAGAATATTTAATGATAATATAAATAGTGCCAACAAGTTATCTAAGATTTTAGAATGGAAAAAGTGTTTGGAGTTTTACAATTTATGAATAAATGCTGCGAAAATTATGATAAGCTAATCTGGTATTTTTGGGTAGACGTACCTGCAGGATCGGCTGCACAATTTTCCTCGTCTACCCTTCCGTCACAGTCATTATCTGTGCCATCGCCTATCACACTCGCCGTCACCACGCAGGGCTAACAATAAAATAATACTAATGATTAAATCACTTATGTTCCTCATTCTCAGATTGGCCATGACTCGGAAGTAAAGCCCAGTACACACCGATGGGGAGAAGGAGGGGAGGTGTAACAATTATGATTACAAAACAGAAGAAAGCCAAATATACAATCGGTACATCGGTAATCTTCCAACTAATAAGGCAAAATCCCAGCGAGTCCCAGCGAGTCCCATCGAGTCCCACGAGGTCCCATGGAACCTCGTTGACTTTGCCCCATGCATGGAGTCCCATCGAGTCCCACCGTTCCCCATCGAGATAGAGTCCGGCCCCTCAAAAGTTTAGAAAGTTTTGCCACCACTGACATTTTGATCCAACAAGTCAACCGATACGTCGCATGGGCAAAATGTGTCTCACGATGCGCAATGGAAATAATGAACGGATCATCAGATCTTGACGAAGCTTGGTCGGACTCCGTGGGACTTCGCGACCATGAAGTAGCCTACCTTGGAAATCGATGGGGCATCGTGAGGCAAAGCCCCGTGGCGTACTACAAGGTTCGACGATCACGCTAAGTGTATGGAGATAACATTGCCCCATTAGTGTATGTTGAACTTAAGAAGCCATATTTCACGGTTTAAGAATGTGACGTTTTGAAATGATACAAATATAATCTTATAGAGAGAAGTGTATGGTTACTGTAGTTGTACTCACTGCGTTAGATAACTCGTTCCTCATTCCTAGGGGAAAGCCATAGGATTCCGCTAACTGCTTTCCATACAGGTAACCAGAGAATTGGCCAATACTGTCAGTGTTAGAAAGTGTATGGGCACCTGGAAATTAAAAGAACGTGTAAACTGTACATGTAAAGTGACGAAAGGGTGTCAATGATATGTGATTCACATAGCCAGGCCTGATATTTGAAAATTCAGCAGATCTTGTAAAATATATAATTTGTGGATTGTTTGATCTTTCCCTAGAACTCGGTCTTCGCTTAAGGAAGGAACAATCCACTTGTAATCTGCTTCACATTGAGTCAAGTGCTCATATGGATTCTTTCAATACACAACAAATATTTGAACAATAAATTCCAAAATTGAAATTCTACCAGAAACGTCTACAACTGATAAAACCACTACCTTCCACTACAGGTATCCAAGTCCCAACATAATTTGTTCCAGGTATACTGTTCCAAGGGTAATCGGTGACATTAAACGCCTCGTTGTCATGTACTAGTGTATCTTCGCGCCCACTTTCAACAACTGAAATAGCAGATAAAGTCATGACTCAGGGGTACATTACCTAAATATTTGATTTATATAAATATCCATTTATTTTCCTTTATCAGTTTGTTTTAACATAAAAACCAACTAAAGTAGAATTTATTTCAAAATAATTAAGTTAACTTGGGTCGTAAGATCTTAATTAACATGATCCATGATGATTCAAAACAGCTTGAAATTGAAAATCAAACATGTAAAGTCAACATGTACAGCAGTTATCTTGTGTGTCTTACCGATTGCCAAATAGTGTTCGTAGGTTCCGGAAGCCGCTGGTGGGCTGATAACGGTGTAGGCAGTTTTCCATTGGACTGTTGGGACTAGCATTATCATAGCTGGATCAGCCGCTTCGGTCGTTCCTGTTGTCTAAAGGGCAACAAAATAACACAGTATATTCTAGTGCAGTAAAACCTGTCTAATCCGAACGCCATTGGAAGCATCTAGCTAAAATTGTTCGGATGAGGATATGTGTACAGGGTGTCAAATAAATATGTCCTCCCCTATTATACCTATTATTATATTATGCCTAAGATGTTTGTTCCAATACAGGATATACATTGAGACATTTATACTTACAGACTAATTGTAAAATTGTAACGCAAATTAAATTGATAACTACAATTAACGTGATACAAACACTGACTAACAAATTTTCAATACCCCGAATGAATCCATCGTGAAACGCTACCTGAAGTTGACGTAATGAAGTTGAGAACACCATAATGATACGCTATTTGCTGTTGCCCATTATCTAGTAATGTTCCAGTGAGTATATCCCTGGCTGAGTGTATTTACCTGACTGAGTATAAACTTGAAAGCACTGATGGGTTTGTCCGATATTATGCTTACGTAGGTCGCCGCTGGTACCGTTATCTAAAAAAAAGGTTTGTACTTACAAAACTAGCCATGAATAAAATAGACATTTTCTAACAATCATGTTATATCAAGATGAAATTACTTTGGTGTTTATTGTAGCCTGATATCGTGGTTTAGCGATTGAATTAAATAAGATATTAATTTGTTTTGATAATGATAACATCTTACATCTGCAAAATCTGCCTTATTGGTTAGTGTTCCATTACTTGAGAAGTCACTCGTCCCCGTCACCCAATAGTTCACTGCATCTTCTCCTGCTGTAAGCTAAAACGTTAAAATGTTATTGAGTCTGGAAATGGACCAGGGAATTCAAAAGGACATGGTATGGTGCGGGAATCTGAGAATAGGGCAGGGAACTTAAAACGACAGGGTCTGGTATGGCAATCTGGGAATAGGGCAGGGAACCTAAAATGTCCAGATGTATGGTATGGCAATTTGGGAATAGGGCAGGGAACTTAAAACGACAGGGTCTGGTATGGCAATCTGGGAATAGGGCAGGGAACCTAAAATGTCCAGGTGTATGGTATGGCAATTTGGGAATAGGGCAGGGATGTTTAAACGACAGGGCCTGGTATGGTAATCTGGGAAAAGGGCAGGGAACTTAAAACGACAGGGTCCGGTATGGCAATCTGGGAATAGGGCGGGGAACCTTAAATGTCCAGGTGTATGATATGGCGATCTGGGAATAAGGCAGGCAACTTAAAACGACAGGATCTGGCATGGCAATCTGGAAATAGGGCAGGAGACCTACACGAACGAGATGTGGTATAGCAATCTGGGAACAGGGCATGAGACCTTATTAAAGGTCCAGATGCGGTAAGGCAATCTGGGAATTGGGCAGGGAACCTAAAGGACCAGGTCTGGTATGGCAATCTATGATTAGGGCAAGGGATTAAAAGGACAAGATGTGGTATACCAATCTGGGGATAAGACAGGGAACTCAAAAGGACTAGGTATGGTATGGTAATCTGGAAATAGGGCGGGTAAACTGGGAATAGGACAGGGAGCTTAAAATGACTGACTAGGTATAATTTGGCAAGTGACTTTAGACAGTCATAATTATGTTTGATCATTAGTATTCTCTCGCCTTACTATGATTTGACAATATTCCCTGTTCAAATAATACGTTTTCCTCCAAGTAGAGTTCCTGGAATAATAAAACTATCAAACAGTGTCGCCGACTTGAAGAACCCCCATTCTTTTCTACATTTTGAAAAGGCCAATTATCTTTTGGATACTATGGTGGTGATGGAATAATTTGTAAATGTTAATAGCTCATACTCAGCTACCAACAGAAATAAAAGAAGACGAGAGCATTGGTCATCATTATCGATTCGTGTTATTTTGTTACCTTTGTATAGTCTATCATTTTATCCAATTCCTGGACCACAAAAATGGTATTACTGGACCAGAGGTTTCTTACCCTTATATAATGTCCTCTCGTGGTGGTACCCGGTGTGGGGGTTGTGTAAAATTCTTTTCCCCATTGCGTAATTGGAACCAACATCTCCTCTAGATGGTCAGCAGTATTGCTCGATGCTCCGTCTGTAACCCTGGTCTTCTTATTTCCAGAGAAAACAGCGATGGGTTGATCGGAATATATTTCAGTTCCCGAAAAATCGGATTCACTTGAGGCTTGGAACGCCTCCAGGCGATCTAGCGTTAAAGAGATGTTTGTCCCGGCAGCGTGAGTTGTACCATCAAAGGTGATTTCTTGGGTAGATTTGATAACAACATTGGTTGAGTCAAGCGTCCCTGCTATTCCAAACAAACTGGTCCTTCTCTCAGGAGTCCACGTAGTCGTGATGTACTCAGTGCCAAGTGCTTCAGTTGGTATGATCAATGACCCATCGACACTTAGGCCTTCCATGTTGACAATGTATACACTTATTTCATCATCGGCGGTGATGAGTAGCCCTTTGTCAGCAACTTTCTCTGTTTCAGTAAGGCGTATACTTGTATCAACCTCGACCTAAAAACAAAGGAAAAAATCGCATAACAATTTTTGTCACAAAAAGAGTCCCACGATCGATTTTTCTGTATTTTTAACTTGATGATTTTAAAGCGTCAATTGCCAAAAGCAAGTGTGATAAACCGATGTTGGTTTAGTGTAAATCTTATGAGCAAAAATAGTCGGAATGGGATTATACAAAATAAAAAAATGTTAAAGCATACATTTTTGAATGTGAAGTAACTCTTGAATATACGAAGAAATTGGTGGATTTTGAAAACATATGGGGTTGTGTTTAGAAAACTGCAAAAATGACTACAAATCATAAGAAAAATTGTTGTCTTGCTTCAAGACACTGTGCTATCTACTCTAACAATTAACTTGTGTCTCATGGGATTGGGCAAGACTAGAAAAAATATTTCACAAATATAACAATAAAATCGCTTGGCGATATTTATGGGAACTCCATTACAAATGAATTATCAATCAATTTATTTATCCTCCTTGTCAGGAATACTTGCGCACATTGATTTAATCTTGGTACCATGTTAGTTTCATTACTTACCGTTTGAAACTGCTCATCCATTACTGTATATGATCCGCTAAACCCGATGGCTTCGCAAGAAATTGATACGTTCACTGGTGTAGACTTTCTAGAGGTAACAAATAAGCGAATTCTGCCATCAGCTCCTGTTGGATCAGTCGCTCTCAGACTGTTTTCCAAAAACATTAGTATGAACTCAGTCCCCGAGTTGTCAACCCCACCTTAAATGTAAACGGTTAAAGCATTTGAGCTCCATTGCATTCATCGTTCGATAGATATTAGAAATTTCTTTTTAATTTTCTGAATTTTCTGAATTTGTCGTTATTACTTAGATGCGCTGAGACTAGCTCTGGATAAAGCGTTTACAGAATCTCTCTAGGTGCAATTTAGATGTTCTGCCTTGAATAGTAGATAATGTATTTTAATTTCATATGAGTTCGTGGGTGTAGGGTGGATATTTTGTTTTTTCTTGTTTGTGTGAAGATAGCTTAAGATTTCAAGGAATTCGAAATAAAAAAGTTTCTAAATATGCACTACCCTCCGTAAGTTCGGCAACCAAAAGTTTTGAATAGCAAAAAGCACTTTTATGTTTGTAGTATCATGATTTTTGAAATCGCCAAACATATACTGGCTCTATTACGCGATCCAGAAGTGGACTTTCGGTCGCCGAACATTTTGAGTAGGGCGCCAATTTTTAAATAACCAGGAAGAAAAATTGTGTCTTTTCATGTAGGCTACACCCCATATGTCTATAAGCAAATAAATCATTATTGATGAATTCACGAGTCTCACTTTGTATGGGATTATTTGTGATTGTCGAAACTTATAACATTAAACTTGCTTCCGCTAGTGCATGTTATCTTTCATTACTTTTACAATGGGAAAGAGTGCCAAATGGCGATTTGCCCCGACCCTCTGTCTTTAATATATTATTTAACTCGTGAAACAAGTCATATATACAACACAAATTATATAGACTTGCCTTATTTGGCAAATTTCATGATCAACTTAAGACTTAAGCTTACAAGAGGAGAAATTACCCAGTATTCATAGATGAACATATCTCCTTGTGAAAATCAAAATATATCTCTTACATGGAGATAGGTTCATCTATGAATTCTGGGGTATTTCCCCCTCTTGCGTCATACAATATCACTAGAATATAGGCATACAATACCCGTACACAAGATCGACCTCTAATTTAAAGAGTGTACAGCCAAAGAAAATAAAATAAGATTTACCAAAGGCTGGTGGTAGGACCATCAGGGCGAAAACTAGAACGAACCGATAATCCATCTCAAACAACAGCTTTTCTGAAAATAAAACATAACACTGATTTAGGGAACATAACAGCGGAGCATGAAGGGCATTGGTTGATAAAAGGGTAGTTGACCAAATGATATAATTAGATATATGTACTGATGAAGAAATGATGAAAAAATAAAAATGGGAAAGACGGAAAGTGCGTATAGAAAGACGGCCCTTTTTGGCCAAATCATGTTATACTCAGGAAAGGCTCTCCTTGGTATGCAAACATGCATTCTCTTTACATAGCAGGACCAGCAACTTCCTTATATTACTGGCAGATTTCCACCATCCTGTGCGCTTGTATGAAATGGGCACACTCTGTTGAACATTGAGTATGCGCTAAACACATCAATAAAATAACTGATCATATTATTATTATATATTACTAATTCCTTTTTCAATTATCATTCAACAATACAGTTGTGCTTGATCGCTTTCCTCGGTAAGAATCCCTAAAATCATGTAAACGCATATTTTGGCCATAAGGGCAATCTGCGAATCGTTTTGGTTTGACCTTCGATCAATTCATGCGCATGCGCTTAGTGAATGTACTTTAGGGCGTAGTGGGCCGAAAGCGATAAAGACTTAACAAAAAACTGAGTCGCCATATACCTTCACATGTACACCCTAACATGGTGAATCAAAATGTTTCTAGCTTTGCAATAAAAAATTGATGGCGTCGACAGCTACCTTTAAGTTTGATTATGAAACATGACAATGAACTTAAAATTTTAATCTTAAATAAACATATTTCCTCAATTAATTTCTATCTTATTATGAATTTTTAGCCCTCTTGTCCCGCCTGAAGAGCCAAACCAAATATTTTGCGGATTGCCCATAACTGCTTATTCAATTTTGGCTGGATAAACTTTCATCGGAACTTTTATATAATTTCCTTCATTGTACTCGTTTTAAGGTCTCAGGGTAGTTATCAGGATACACCAAAACAGGAAATGAAAAAAACATGTGGATTTTAAAAATTTTGGAACTTAGATAACAGAGTTCTACTTGAATATTTTACTACTCCCATATATTATTTATATTACATGACCAGGATCACAATTGCCATGGTCCAAATGACCCTTATCTTGCTGAAATAGCTTTTTCAACCCTCTGAAATTGTGACTGAAAAAATTTCAAAGTTAGCGTTTCGGAAAGGTCACTGAACAGAATATTTTGAATTTTTCAGAGAATGTGCCCAATATATCGTTTTACGTGATAGGAGCTTTGAAAATGAAAAAAATTCCTTGAAACAAAAATTGTGGTCATTTAAAATCATTTTTTCCTTTTTTTCTCTTTTTCTAGAAATGAATTCAATTTTTTAAAGTTCCTATCATTTAAAGCAATATGTTGGGTACATATTCTGTTCAGTGACCTTTCCGAAACGCTAACTATTATAACCTTTTTCAGTCACAATTTCTAGAGGGCTGTAAAAGCTATTTCAGCATGAAAGGGTCATTTTGACCATGACCATTATGATCCTGGCTATGTAAATGATATATGGGAGTTGTACAACTGACTGGAGATCAAAGCAGAACTCTGTTATCTTACTTCAAAAAATTCTAAAATCCACATGGTTTTTTCATTTCCTGTTTGGTGTAAATTTCTGATAACTACCCCGAGACCTTAACTGACCCGCCTCGGATTCTAAATGGCATTTGAATTATTAAGAAAAGAAAACTGCGGCATACACATTTGGTTGGTCGCCATTTTGTCGCAGTTATCTAATAAACTAAATTGTTGGTCGCCATTTTAATATGAGGCCACGTCTTGAAAAGTTTAACTTACCTTTTTATCTAATCGAGATTCAACAAGAAAAGTTATATCCGAAATTATCCTCTTAAAAGTTATCCGAAATTATATTAATTAGCCGTAATCCAAATTATTAAGTCATATTTGCTCTAAATAAACGAGGCTATTAAATTCACTTTAAACTGTTCAGTGAATCACGCACAAAATGGGCTTGAATTAAAAATAGTCACGGTCTTTGCTTCGTTCATATAACGGCCATGTGCAGTGGACACTAAAAATAAAATTTGAAACACAGTTGTTTTCTGAATCATGTACACCCCTGGCAAAGAAAAACATAAATTCTGTATTTTTGAAAACGGATTAATCTCTTTTTCATTTTTAAATCCAACTCGAATTGAACACTAACATTATACATTGAAAATGAGGTGATCAAATTGATTCAAAGGCTATTTGTTGTGTGTTGGATAAAAATTGAACTTGCTTAAAGGAAGGGCCGTGTTCGGTACATTTGTACAGTAATCTCCTGAGCGACAGTCCGAGACGAAAGATGAAGTGAATTGGAACGCCATGAATGGGTATACCGTTACACAGAAGATTCGATCGAAAATGGAGGAGCTATAATTCCTTTTCAACATTTTCATATTGTAAGCTACTGTGTGGTTGTTGAGTCAGTATAATTAACAAAATTTGATTTGCAATTTGATGGCAAACTCATTTAAATACCCGTCGTGTGTCCCGTTAGTTGCCAGCTCTCGCCCCAAACAATGTAGCTGGGCTAAATCACGATTTAATCTCAGTGGTTATTAAAGCAGCAACTTATACCGACTATCGAGGACAAACTGACGGATAAATTTATGCAAATCAATGGGTTAATCTGGTAGCATTCGCGATTCCAAGCTGAGATACTTTGGTAGCTTTCATATGAGCTTAGATTTCATCTAATTTTTCTTATGTTTACTTGGAGCATACAATTCAGCTGGTTGAATCTTCGCCATTTTGACAATACGTTAACGTGAGTTACATCTGCGGCTGCCTCACACAGCAACGTTGGGTGTAACTGTAGTTGGCACGAACAACATGAACAGCAATAATGAAATGACTTGCGATACCATCACCATGACGTTTCTGTACGCAAGCAAATATATACAATTAAATATTCTAGACGATCGCCTTGCGCCAGTGTTTTCTATTCTTATTTCGACTTTTATACAACTTATTCTGCCAACTTCACATGTGCTGGTTAAATGTGGATGTAGCCTTTAACATGATATATATTTTTCATACTCCGAAAGATTTAGCGTTTTTGAATCTACCACATTACGAAATATTAATGTGGGACTCAAGCCAACTTCATGCAAAACTGTTTTGTGAACATGATGCATATTCACCGTAGTTATTTAGATTAACATATTTTGTTTTGCTCTTAGTACCAACCTGAGTTAAAATAAGTCGCCAACTTTGATTGAAGAAGAAAAATAGGTCATATTATCTTCTTGAATAGATACTATATTCAAACTGATCTAACTGAAGACTGAAAAGATCGGGAAACCGGAAATTAAATTTGCTGAAACAAGTCTAGAAAGATGTCGGCGATTTTAAATAGTCATGCTTTATTACAACTTCCTAATAAATTTTTTGAACTTGTTTGAAAAGTAAATGAAGGGTCGTTGAGCTTTTTAAAAATGTTGGACTGGAGCTTTCATGTCGTACCACTAGCCCCAATCTTAAGCTATACATTTTCGTAACAACTAATTCTAACGCTTAGAATTTATGTATCCCACCTAAAACATGTTTATAGACCAGTGATGTCACAAGTAAATCTCATCTTACACGTGTGACCTTTTAGGATGAAAGATGGCAATATCTTGCATGGGGTAAAGATGGCTGTATCTTGGTTAGTCATATGAGAAAATGCCATCTATATTTATAACGTCATAAATACCAAATCACGTCTTTTGAAAGATGTCGACGTGGTACAATGAACCATGCAATGTTTCTCTATCTATTACACTGCCTCCCTCAACCTACAGAGCTGAGACACGGGAAATAAAATATTAGAAATAACTATAAGTGCTATACCCACCATTCATCCATCGTTCTCAGCCAGTTCCCACGAGGTTCCAAACATTGTTAAGACTTCCTGGGAGACTGTCAAAGTCACT